CTAGACCTAACAGCCTATCTATAGAACACTTCACCCAACAGCAGCAGAATACACACTCTTCTCAAACAGATGGAACATTCTCCAGGATAAACCATATGCGAGGTGATAAAACAAGCCTCAATACATTCACAAACATTAAAATCATGCAAAGTATGTTCCCCAACTATAATGGAACAAAACTTAAAATCAGTAACAAATTAATGGAATGAATTTCCCCAACTATAATGAAATGAAACCAGAAATTAGTAAGAAATTTGGGAAGTCACAAATTTGTGAAAATTGAACACCACACTTCTAACTCACCAATGGGTCAAAGAAGAACTCACAAGGGAAATGTGAAAATATGCTGAGATGAATGAAAAAGAAAACAAACATACAAAAACTTATGCGATACAACTAAATCAATGCTTATAGGAAAATGTACAGCTATAAAAGCCTGTATTTGAAAAGTTCTCAAGTCCATAATCCAGCCTTATACTTTGCTATAACACTGGAAAAAGGTCAAACCAAACCTAAAGAAAGCAGAAAAAGGGAAAATAATAGTGTTTAGAACAATAATTTAATGAAATAGAGAACAGAAACCAATAGAAGGAAATCAGTGAAACCAAAAGTTGGTTCTTTGACAAGATCAATAAAATTGATAAATGTTTAGCTAGATTGACTAAGGGGAAAAAAAGAAGATTCAAATTATTATAGTTAGGAATGAAAAAGAGGACATTACTACTGACTTTACAGAAAAAAGGGATTACAAAAGGGCATTATCTATTATTGTATGCCAACCAATTAGATTACTTTATGATATAGTCAAAATTCCTAGAAAGACACAAACTACTGAAACTGACACAGGAAGACACAAAATCTGAGGCCACATGTGGTGGCTCTCACCTATAATCCCAGCACTTTGGGAGGCTGAGGCAGGAGGATCACCTGAGGTCAGGAGTTTGAAACCAGCGTGACCAACATGGTAAAACACCATCTCTACTAAAAATACAAAAATTAGCCAGGTGTGGTGGCTTGCACCTGTAACTGGGAGGCTGGAGAATTGCTTGAACCCAGGAGGCCAAGGTTGCAGAGAGGCAAGATCATGCCACTGCCGAGACTGCACCACTGCACTCCAGCCAGGGTGACAGAGCAAGACTCTCTCTCATTAAAAAAAAGAAACAAAAAAAGAAACAAAATCTGAACAGACCTGTAATAGGCAAATAAATCAGTAAATAAATTAGTAAGCTCAGATGGCTTCACTAGTGAATTCCACCAAACATTTAAAGAATAATTAATACTAACTCACCACAAACTTTTTCAAAAAAACAGAAGCAGTAATGCTTCCTAGAGCTCATTCTATAAGGCCATATTTTTCTGATACAAAAACCAAAGACATCACAAGAAAAAAAAAAAGGCCACAGACCAGTATCTCTTAGGAATACAGATTTACAGATTTAAAAATCTTTAACAAAATATTCACAAAACAAATCCACAAACATGAAAATGATTATATCCTAGGAAAAAGGGTAGTTTAACATCCAAAATAGAATAGAATAGGCCGGGCAGGGTGACATTTTGGGAGGCTGAGAAGGGTAGATCACCTGAAGTCAGGAGTTTAAGACCATCCTGGCCGACATGGCAAAACCCTGTCTCTACTAAAAATACAAACATTAGCTGGGCGTGGTGGTGCACGCCTATAGTCCCAGCTACCCAGGAGGCTGAGGGCAGAAGTATCACTTGAACCTGAGAGGTGGAGGCTGCAGTGAGTCAAGATCACACCACTGTACTCCAGCCTGGGCGAGAGAGACTCTATTTCAAAAAAACAAATAAAAAACAACAACAACAAAAATAGAATAAAGGACAAAAACAACCCAACCATAGACGCAAAAAAAATCATCGCACAAAATCCAACACCTTTTCATGATTTAAAAAAAAAAAAAACCACACATACGCATTTAAAAAACTAGGAAAAGAAAGAAACTTTCTCAAACTGGTAAGGGGCATTTATTTTAAAAACCCACAACTAACATCATATTTAATGGGGAAAGACTGAATGCCTTTTCCTTAAGATCACAAACAAGAAAAGATGTTCATTCTTTTCACTTCTATTTGAAATTGTATTGTGGGTTCTAGCCAGACCAAGCAGGCAAGAAAATAAATACAGACATGATACTAGAATGACTTAAGAAACCCATTAAGTAACTACTACAATGAATAAATGAGGTCAGTAAGGTTGGAGGAAACAAAATCAATATATAAATTTTAACTGTGTATCAATACACTAGCCATGAACAATTGAATAGTTAAATTATAAAACAACTCTACTACTTATCATAGCCCCCAAAATAATCAAATACTTAAGAATAAATTTAATAGATATAAAACGTGTACTCTGAAAACTATGAAAGAAATTCACTGAGACTTCACAAATTGAAAAACATTCCATATTCATGGATCCAAAGAGTTATATTGTTATGAGGGGAATAACCCCAAATTGGAACTTTGAACAGTTTGTCAATTCCTAGACTTAAATATGAATTTACCATATGACCCAGCAATTGCATTCCTAAGTGTCTACCAAGAAAAATTAAAACATAGGCCCAGAAAAAAAGTTGTACAACAATGTTGATAGCAGCTTTGTTCATAATAATCAAAAAGTTGAAATAACCCAAATGTCCATCAACTAATGAAGGGTTAAGTAAAATGTGATATCATATCCATACAATGAACTATTATTTGACAATAAAAGGGAAATTGAAGCCCACTGCAGCATACACTTTACATGGTGTAATGTATGATGTATGAATTATACTGTAAGGTGAAAAAAACAAATGTAAATAAATACAGGTATGTATTCATGTAATACAGACATGACACCCAGAGCACCATAGCTTCAGCAATGATTATTTGTAAAACACATTGCCACACAGGTTATTGTAGAAGACAATAACTAGGTCTTGTATAGCTGTGTTTATCTCAATCATGTCTCAAAATGGAAATTTTCTGAAGCAGGAGTGACTGGGCCTACCATCAAGAGATGTCTCATGGAAGATCACAGCGGTCAGTGGTCAGGGCCAAAACGCCACTAGGAGGATCCTCCTCACCAATGTGTCCACTGCCACTGCCAACCTGGAACTGGCCCATGGGGAGTTTCACTAAGCAGGGGCTCAGTAGGAAAAAGTGAGGGAACCACCCAAGAGGGGAACAGGCAATACCTCTAGGACCAGATTCTGAGCAGGGCAAATATGTAAAGGACAAAGGACTTAATGGCGGGGGGGCACGGGCAGAACTAAACAGAAGGTAAAGATAAATGATACCAACAAGACAACATGGTGGGAAAAAAAAAAAAAGCTGCCAGGTGGGGTGGCTCATGCCTGTAATCCCAGTACTTTGGGAGGCCAAGGTGGGTGGATCATGAGGTCAGGAGTTTGAGACCAGCCTGGCCAAGCGAAACCCTGTCTCTACTAAAAATACAAAAATATTAGCTGGATGTGCTGGCACACGCCTGTAGTCCCAGCTTCTTAGGAGGCTGAGGCAGGAGAGTCGCTTGAACCTGGAAGGTAGAGGTTGCAGTGAGCCAATATCATGCCATTGCACTCCAGCCTGGGCGACAGAGCAACTCCATCTCAATAAAAAGAATAAATAAATAAATAGCTAAAATGTGAAATATAATTGTAAAGTAGTGACAGTACTCAATTCCTCTGCACCCAAAAACACTCCCAGAAGGAGATGGGGGCAAAGAGAATAACCCATCAGGACTGAAATTTATGATAAAAAAGCAAAACACTTTGTAAATTCCTAAAATATTCACACTTTTCATGAAGTTGTACTATATCTCACTTCTAAGAGTTTAGACTGAGATATTCACAGGCTTTAAATTATTGCAGCATTACTTAGAAATGCAAATAATAATAAATAACATTGAGTTCTTACTTTGTGCCAGGAACTATGTTGCTAAACTAGTTATCAGCTAATCCTCACCCTTATTTGATGAAGTAGATACAATTAAAATCTCATTTCTGGGGGGTCAAAATAGCATGAAAGAAAATAATAAAACAAACAATCTCATTTTAAATATGAGAAAACTGGGGTACAAAGAGTTAAGTAACTTGCTTGAAGATAGAAAATTGACAAGTAGCAGCTGAGACTTGAATTCAGGTACCTAGTTCCCAAATCAAGAAACTTAACCACAATATCAGTATGTCCCAGGTGTACATATAATAAACTGGGCCATCTCATTTTAGGGTTTATGTAACCAAATATAACTAGCATGTCAATTTTATAATAGTTACATAAAGTTTTCTTCTGAAATAAACATGTAAAAAATGTGACTCAACTTTTTTAAAAGCAAGCAGAATAAGGACTGGACAGGAATACAAAAAAGTAGACCCCTCAAAACATGTATGATCAGCCTATAAAGTCTATTTTCCATAGGTTCACCCAACACAGTTTTAGTATGTCTACCACTCTGCTGTCTCCCACTCAAGTGAGCATCTTTCTCTCTCAAGAAGTAATGTCCTGACGTTTATCAAATTTTCCTTTTCTTCATTTTATCCTAACTTATCCTGAAGCTCCAGGACGAGGCCACTTAACTATTGAAAGGTCCCAGACTTTTTTTTTTTTTTGCAATGAAAAGATCTATGAGGAATCTGGTAGGCATATGCAAGCATTTTTTAAATGGCAGGGCTACATGGATGCTACTCTTGGAGGGTTCTTCTTTTAAATGTGATAATCTGCCCAGTTCTAGCACCCAAACATACTCCAGTTGGCAGAGGGAAAATGAATCTGTGTTTCATCCTGAAGGGCCACAGACCTTGCCAAAGTACTTCCATTTCCCATGATCCAACACCTCTAATACTCCAGAGATACTGTGCATCTCTGGCTTTTCCATACAATGGACAGAACTCCAGAACTCTCTGTACATTTAGGTAAGTCTTCTGAAGGCTTAGAGGCCACTGTCCTGCCTGCCAACTTCCAGGTACCAGCCAGCTCCCCAAGCAGAGGGCACCCTCACCCACCTGTGCATGTTCCCATTGGTGGTAAATGACTGGCCGCACACTGTGCACTTGTATGGCCTCTCGCCAGAGTGCACCAGCATGTGGCGATCGAGGGAGCTGGCTGAGCTCAGTGACTTCCCGCAGATGCTACATGAGTGGTCAGCTCCTCCAGTGTCTGTGTTGTGCTGCAGAAAGCAATGAACACAGTGGTCACTCAAGAAAATGCGTCAAAAGCTCACCTCTTAGGAAATGCAGATCCAGAGCTTCATTAAAAAAAACCAATGAACTTTCTTGACTATGTGTTTCTGTTTCATTTTAAATATCTTCCTGAAGAGGCAAAACGTATCAGGAAAGCAAGCAAATAAATATTTTGTATGATCTTCTTCCATTCCCATGTTCTGTTTTGAAAACTACTTCTATTGAAAGGCTCAGAAAGAAGTGGAGCCTTCCCAGGTCTTTTTTTGAACTACATACTGATTCACTGACCACATATATAAACTCCTATGAGCAGAAGAACTCTCAACAGTGAAGCAAATATGTCCTCACATTGAGAGTCAATGTCCCTTCTTCAGATTTGATGACTCAGGCCTGCCGTCAGAGAAAGAGAACTGAAACCTGCACAGGGCAGAGAGTTTCAGCCTTTGAAAGACAGTATAAATGAACATTTCTATCCAAAACCAAGTTACTTTAGTGCCTTGATGTTATTCAGTGCTGTGTTATGATTTTACAGGGTCATCAATCCTTCACTGTTATACATTCATCAATATTCTGTCATGAATTGGACAAAGCAGGAGGAGGATCGAAGGATAAATATCGCAATAAAGGAGAAAAGCAAAAAAAAAGACCCCAAGCCAAGTAGATTTCCTGCCATGTGATGTACATTTACACTAATATAAGGAAGAGGGTTGCAACTATGATCTCATTATGTTGTAAGGAATGTGATTCAGACCAACAAGCAATATACAATGAAAGGTCCTTTAACTCGATGTTTGTTCAAATTTAAAAGTGGATTTTATTTTATTTATTTAATTTGAGACAGAGTCCCAGTCTGCCACCCATGCTGGAGTGCAGTGGCGTGATCTCGGCTCACTGCAACCTGCTCCCGGGTTCAAGTGATTCTCCTGTCTCAGCCTCCAGAGTAACTGGGATTACAGGCACATGCCACTGTGCCTGGCTAATTTTTGTATTTTTGGTAGAGATGGGTTGGCCAGACTGGTCTCAAACTCCTGACACAAATGATCTGCCCATCTTGGCCTCCCAAAGTTCTGGGATTACAGGTGTGAGCCACCACACCCAGCCAAAAGAGAATTCTGTGTTGACCTAAGACTTTGGCACAGGAACACAAAAATCATTTCATAACCACCCACCAAAATTGTTTACTTAAAATACTAAATTTAAATTAGGCACAGCTATAACTCGGCCATTAAAACCTAATTACCAGCTGGGTGAGGTGGCTCACACCTGTAATCCCAGAACTTTGGGAGGCCAAGGTCAAGAGTTCAAGACCAGCCTGACCAACATGGAGAAACCCCATCTGTACTAAAAATACAAAATTAGTCAGGTGTGGTGGCGCATGCCTGTAATTCGCGAGGCTGAGGCAGGAGAATCACTTGAACCTGGCAGGCAGAGGTTGCGGTGAGCTGAAATCATGCCATTGCACTCCAGCCTAGGCAACAAGAGCAAAGTTCCATCTCAAAAAAAAAACCAACAAAAGTAAAAAACAAAAACCCAATCACCCTGCCCTCTGCATAAGGAAGAATAATTTAAACAAAAAATAGTCTAGTCCGGCTGGGCACAGTGGCTCATGCCTGTAATTTCAGCACTTTGGGAGGCTGAGGCAGGTGGATCACAAGGTCAGGAGTTCAAGACTAGCCTGGCCAATACGGGGAAACCTCGTCTCTACTAAAAATACAAAAAAATTAGCTGAGCGGGTGGTGCATTCCTGTAATCCCAGCTACTCAGGAGGGTGAGGCAGGAGAACTGCTTGAACCCGGGAGGTGGAGGTTGCGGTGAGCCACGATCATGGCATTGCACTCCAGCCTGGGTGATAGAGTGAGACTCCATCTCAACAAACAACAAACAAACAAAAATAGGCTGGCCTGAAGGTAGTGAGTTATCTCAATTGACTGCTCACCGTGAATGTTTAACTCCTTGTTCTACTCTTTCCCCTCTTTTCACTACTGCACTTTACTAAAAAAAAAAAAAATTAAAAATAGAAAAGCGGTAGCCTACCTGGCGAATGTGCATGGTCAGCTGGTGCTGGGTAGTGCAAATCTTCTCACATAGGGGGCAGTTATAGGAAGACTTTTCCTCTTTTGTTTCCTAAAAAGCGATTAAAAGGGAAGATATATTTCAAATTACAGTCAATGAGTACCTTTTCTTTCTGTAATAACCACTTGTGTCTATGTAGCTGAGAGCATGGGCTCCAGAACCTGCCCAGGTATGAGCTTGTGCAAGTCACCATCCTGTCTGCCTCAGTATCCTCATCTGAAAGATGGGAAAAACAGTACCACCTACCACACCATGCTGTGATGCAGGTTAAATTAACACATGCAAAGCACTAGAATAGTGCTGAGATTATAGTAAGTGCTCAATAAATACTAGCATTCTAATTACAGATACCACTTAATCATCTGTGATGGCAAAAAATTAAGCATCAACTCACAGAAGAGCTAGCAAGGAATACATTTCTCCCCAAGTCCAACCTGGGTTCCAGGCCCTATTTTCCATCAGGTTTCAGGGCCTCCAAGAACACATGAGAGATAATAAGATTCTCATCAAAAAAGCCCACCCTACCAAGAGGGAAGCCCTCAGTGCCAAGCTGTGCACCCAGTGGGCATGCTGTGATTCCTCTGCCCACTGCTGCATCTGCTTAACACTGCTCATAAATAATCAATAAAAACATAACTCCAAGAAGACTGCTGCCCTCATCATGACAACTTTGATAGGAATGCCAACCCAAGCTAAAGATTTCTACAGAAGGTAACAAAAGAACCAACTCACTACTTGGTGAAGGGGCTCCTTTCATGTTCCCTCAGAACATGAAAGACTGCACAGGTCAAGCAGTATATGTATATGTTTTGTCTTTTTAAGAAAAAGCCAGTGTCGTTCACTAATCCTATGCTACAGATCCTCTTTCTAAATAATTCATGTAGAGTTCTAGGCTGTGTGCATTATTGACTCCTCACCCTCACAGTCCCTAAGCAACACGGTTCCTGTCTCCATACCCAAAACTGACTGGACCTAGGCTTGGATATCTCTCTCAGGAATTTGGAGTTGGGATACTCAGATATTTCTAAAGATCAGCAGAATCACCTGGGAGGCTTTTTCTATGTATTTAACCAGATTCTTGACATGCTCTATCAGTCACTGGGTGACTGGGGTTGGGGGAGTAGAACCCCAGAAATCTGTTTGTCTCTCAAGCTCCCCAGATGATGGTGATATGTGCCCAGGTTTGAGGATGGCTACCTTACTAATTTGGGTGATTATGAACAGTTGAATTGAAAGTTCATGGAGAGGTGGGGCCAAACCCAAGAAGGCTAGCACCTTGGCAAACCAAGGCCAGGAGAAAGTAGTGTGGAAGATGCCAGGGCTAACCCAACAGGATGGAGGGCACTGTCCCTAGAGCCGGATGCTCCATCTAGGCTCTGGGTCATTTCCTGTCCTCAGGCATCTTTCAATAGATCACTTTTTACTTGTGTTCATTTGAGTGAGTTTCTGCTCCTTGCAAATAACACCAATTATTGAGCACTTACTATGCGCTAACTCTGTATACAGAACTCAGGGTTTTTTCCACAACTGCTAAAAGACGAGCACTATCATCGATCCCATTTTCTGGATGAGGAAACTGGGGTACAGAGAGACAAATAACCTGCCCCAAGTCAGAGAACTATTAAGTGGTAGGCACAGTATTAAAACCCAGGCCAGCTGCTCCACAGCCCATGCTCTAAACCACTATGCTATATAAAGTCTGACCAAAAGAAGGATTAACCCCAAGGCACAGAAAGAAAACACTCTTGTGGTTGCGTATGAGAGATGATGAAAATAAGTCACCCTGAAGACTATAAAAACAAATGGCACCATAAACCAGATGGGTGGAATGAAGGCATGATGATGTCTAGCTCACAGCCACCTTCTCTCTAGCTCCTCTTCAAAGATAAACAAGTCACATTCTGAACAATAGGAACTTTAAAAAACAAAAACAAAAACGGAGTCTCACTGTTGCCCAGGCTGCAGTGCAATGGCACAATCTTGGCTCACTGCAACCTCCGCTATCCAGGTTCAAGTGATTCTCCTGCCTCAATCTCCCGAGTAGCTGGGAATACAGGTATGTGCCACCACACCTGTAGAGATTGGGTTTTGTCATGTTGGCCAGGGTGGTCTCGAACTCCTGACCTCACGTGATCCACCCACCTTGGCCTCCCAAAGTGCTGGGATTACAGGCATGAGCTACAGTGCCCGGTCGGAACTTTTTTCTAATCTATGGAATTGGGTCTGGAAACTAGGCATGCTCCACATTTTCTCACTTTCAGAAAGAATTAAGGATATGGATTCTACAAAAGAGGAACATCCTAGAGACTGGGGGGAAGAAATTCCCAGTCTTACTTATTCATCATACTAATAGTTGTTTCTGAGATATAATGAGGGGGAGGAGATGTCACATTTTTTCAGCCCAGTTCTACGACTGCAGTCAGAGTAGAGCTGGCCAAGGACCCCCGGGGGGTGGGAGAAACAAAAGCAATAGCAACAAAATAAGAACACTTGGCATAACAAGGATGGATGTCTCACAGCCAGGCCAAAAGTTGGGGACAAGTTCAATCTCTGGGGTATTGTTGTCAAATTAGTAGATAGGTAATTTTATATACATAACATTTTTTAAGTCACCAGCAGAATGTAAATACATGTTAAAAAAAAAAAATCACCAAGCTTCAAAGTGACCAGCCACAGGGAAACAAATTTTTTTAAAAATCATCTTGCATTCACCTTGCAATAGACAGCAGGCACACTGTGCAGCTGGTGGGGCTGACTGCTGTTGATTATGGGGTGAATCATGAAATGACTCCCAAATCTTCTCTGAAGCTGGCAGCAGTGTGCTAAGACCATCATACAGGTCTACAAAATCCAAGGTATCTGAGATGAGGTCTGTCTACAGACCCAGACGTAATCTTTTAAAATGAACCAGGCCAGGAGTGGTGGCTCACGCCTATAATCCCAGCACTTTGAGAGGCTGAGGTGGGAGGATCGCTTGAGCCCAGGAGTTTGACACCAGCCTGGGAAATATATAGTGAATCCTCATCTCTACAAAAAGTTTTTTTATAATTAAAAAAAACAAACAAACCCAGATATCACAGTAATTAAGACAGCTTACACAGATTAGCTGTATAGTTTAGGAAACTAGGAATCAACCAAGCTCTGGTGAGATATAAAGACCCTGTCTCTATTTAAAAAAAAAAAATAATAAAATGAACCTAATAGAAAAGAGAGCACTGTGATATTGGAAGAGAGGCCCTACTGAAGAATTTTGTTTTTGTTTTTTATAGGACATGGGGGTCTCACTATATTGCTCAGGCTGGTCTTGAACCCCTGGGCTCAAGTGATCCTCCCACCTCAGCCTCCCAAGTAACAGGGATTACAGACATGCCATCATGCCCAGTACCCTAATGGAGAATTTTGAATCCAGTTATTGCAGTCATGCTGGTGGAAGGAGCATACTTCCTGAGATGAAAGACAAAATTAGCAGCTAATGTGATAACTAACCATTCCATAATGAAACAATCTGGCACCCTTGTCAGCATCCGGCTATGGCTAATCTCTCCTGGAACTCTTAGCTCACACAGATGGGACTTACCCCTGGCTCCCTTCTCTCAGCTCTCCCCGTCTAGCCCACAGGTAAGGAGAATGCTTCCTTCTCCCCCATACTCTCTCCCCACTGAGTTTTGTTTTTTTTTTAGATTAATAACTATATTTATCAGACTATCTCTGGCCCAGACCTCCATTTAAAAAGCAAAGTCAGGATACCAGATCTCTGGAGAAGAAAGGAGGGGGATGAAAAGGTGACCCTGCCCCACCTGCACAGTTGCCTCCTCACACCTTAAGAGGCGGCCTCCAGTTAGCAAGCAAACATGGGAGATGCTGTGGGCATCCTCCAGGGCCCTAACCATAACCAGGTCTTTGATCTGGAGCCTGGACTTGGGACAACTTGAAGATATGTGGGGAAAAGCTCTTCCTGGCACTCCACTTGTTACTGGTAGAGCAGGATGAGGACAACAACCTCGTCTGTCTTATTCTTCCCCAAATGCCTGGCACCTGATACAGTAGATAGCTGGATATAGGAACTGGGTACATATTGTCCAGTGGGTTGATGGATGGAGAGATGGATGAATGGACAGTCACATGAAAGTGGAAATAAACCTTTTCTTCCCAGAGCTAGCACTCCTTCTCGACTCAGGCCACAGTCATACAGGCTGAGAATTTTCTCAGGCACCCATAGGAAGAGAGGCACAAGGAAAAAAGGAAAAAAAGAGAGAGAAAGGAATCAGTGTTCCAACCCTAAAACATCATGGAACTCTGGCAAGTTCTCATCCTTGAGCAAGATGTGGAGAAATGCACCTTCTCACACACTGCTGGCAAGGTTTGGGGCTGGTACAACTTTTCTTGGAGCACAAGTTGTATTGAAAGCCTTAATTAAGGCTCTATTTCTAAGAATTTATAGAAAACCATCATATTAATACTCAGAGAATTCTGTATAAGGACAGCCACCATAGAACTATTTGTAAAAAAGAAAATTAGTTCACAAAAGCCCAGCAGGTTTGCTTTCTCATCCATCTCTGGTTCCTAAACAAACACAAGACCGCCTTCTCTCCAAGGATTTAGTATAGTCTTATTAAATCAGTTAAACCAAATTTTAAACACAAGGAAGTAAATTAATATCACATGGATCCAGAGATGAAATGAGAATTATTCACTCTCTGCCACCTTCCTTCTGTTCAACAATATGTTGCCAAGACATCAACAACTTTTTGAAAGTGTCTCATTTATAATAAGATTCTTCTTATTTCCCAACAGAGAAGATGTTAACTTTTATAGCAGTATTAACCCTTTCCAATTCTACCTATTTACTTTCCCATGTCTCCTGATCCAATGAAAAATCAAGACTAAATACCATCTTAACTGGAATTCTCTGAAGCCAAATTTGGTGCTTTTCAAGGATAGAAAGCTGAACGTCAGCCCTGGCACAAGCAGTCCTTAGTTGCTACCTAATCTGAAGACACTGAAAAATACCCAGGTATGTGAATGAGGAAACAAACTACATCACAGTAGAGAAATCAGTCACATTCCCTGCCACGGCCATCACATGAAGAAAGCTTGAGTTAAAATCCAATGGTGGGGCCAAAAATAAGGGCGCTTCCACTAACACCGGCACCACAGCAAAGAAAACTTTCTCCATGAAAGGAAACTAACATAAGCTGTGAAAATTTTGCTCTTGAAAAATGATTAAGTCCTCTGGGTATGTCTGTTTTATTCCAAAGTCTTCTAAGATTTTATCATAGTAAACTGGGAAACATCTCCCAATGTCTCATGGATTGAACCCACCGGAGGTCACCACCAGGTACAAACACTTACCTGGTTCCTTCTGCCAATCCGATTTGGTCCTGGAGGCTTCGAGGGGGACTTGATGCCCTGAGGGCTCCTGCCATTCTCTGTGACCTTCCCTACACTCATGACCGCCGACATCATGGTGTTGATGGAAGACAGGTCTGAACCTTCCAAGCCAACAGGCGAACTTGACGTCATTGGGACAGGGGTTTAAGCTTCTAAGAAGCCTCTGCCATAAAACTGAAAATCGGAAATTGCTGATGTGATCATGGGGAAGTTTAGCCTTCTGTCATTGCCAGGGACGCTGGTCATGGCTACGCTAATTGTAACTTGGGTCAAAAACATCCAATATTCTCTTTCTCCAGTTAACAGCCACATTCATGCCCAGAATGATGGAAGCTTTCATCTAAACAAAGGGTTGGCATACTAAGGACTAAATAACCTTGCTTTTCTTCTGAGTGTGCACTACCAACAGGACTCAATGTCATGAGAGGCTGGTTTCTCTGCCTTTCCTAATTGAGGTTAGGCAGAAGTGGGAAAGGCCAAGCCAACGATTACAAGGTCCAGAAAGCTGCCACCCTACCAGCACTCTCCTAAGAACCTAGACTCACTTACTACTATAGGAATGTTCTAGACCTGAAACTAGTAATGAGAAACACAGGTTTCATTTAACTCCACTGCTGTAATACAATGACTTCAGTGGGGAGCCTGAATTTTATAAGAGATTTGAGAAGCCAACGCTATCAGAATTGCAAACAAATTTCAAATTGACATATAAAAGCCTGTTCTTAAAAAAAGTATACAAACAAGCAGGTCACATACCCTAGAAAATGGAAAGAAGAACCCCCCCAACCACCACCACACTGCTGATTACCTCCATTTTCTGACCCAACTGATAGACTATGATATTTCCCCCTGCTGTAGCTATCATCCACATGGAGTAGGAAATGAGTCTGTGTTGACCTCTTTTCTTCTTCTCTTCGTAGCACTCGTTGACACTGGAAGGGAAACAAAGGTCCAAAATGAACATCTTTTCACTTGGTGAAGAAAAAACTGAAATTGTTTATTTGCTGTAATCTTAGACCACTATATTCAAGAAAATGCAAGGAGCACAAATGAGAGGCAGTGTCTGCCTTTCTTTCTTTCTTCCAAAACCACATTCTGTAGCTGTTTCTCAACCTTAACTGATCTTAACCCCTGCAGTGCTGCCTGCCACACATACTACCAACAGCGAAAAGAACTCTTCAGTATTTTAATTTCTGAAGCTCATGTGTACACCCATGCATCAAATTTTCTTTCATACTGTGCCTCAGTCCCTTGCAAGGATGCTCAAGCTCCACTTAACCTATCTCATGCCTCTACCTAAAAGTGACCAAAGACAAAACAGTTCAGGCATTTGCTAAAAGCTTAGTTGAGACACTCTTAGGACAGAACGAAAAGAAACCTGACAACATGAAAAGAATGACCAAAGGGAAAACTATGGCCCATGGATATGTCACAATTCACTTCTTCAGACCATGTGCACGTGTGTTCTTTGCAACTAGAACTATATGGCTACAGGTCTGGCCAGTAGGTATGAAGCCTACTGCTTTCCTCAGTTTATCTAGGAAGATATTCTATAGCTGAAGCCCTACCATAGTTATTAGGATATTAATATCCTATTATCCCACAATGTGTGCTAATAAATTCTACAAGTCCACAATAGCAGCTGAAGATCAAGCTCATCATCTCAGCTGTAAAGAGAATGTGTAGGAACAACACAAGAAAGAATATTTCTCATAGCTTCCTCCTCCAACTTTAGGGGATATGACCTAGCATATAAGAAATGGTACCAACCAGAGCAGCTACAAACATGCAGTTCCAGCCTAAATTCTTACCAAAAGGAGCAAAGAGAAACTTAGGGGCAGTACTTGTCTTGTAAAGAGACAAAATGTACCTTCCTTGTTAATAGACATTTTGGAGCTGTGAATCAAATGGTTTTCCAACTGGTAGGTAAAAGTAATACCTGCAGAAACACACAATTTGAGACTACGAATCCAGCTTCTTCGCCCACATCTTCTCTATGAAGAGAAGAAAGCTATAGCCAAAATTAAAAAAAAAAAAAATTCTATACTGTCATCTTTCCATGATGTTTCCCCATGCTAGTAGACCTTAAATTTATGGAAAATTGTGCTTCAGTCTGGACACAGTTGCTCACAACTGTAATCTCAGCACTTTGGAGGCCAAGGTGGGAGGATCACTTGAGCCCAGGTGTTTGAGACCAGTCTAGGCAACACAGCAAGACTCCATCTTTGTAAAACATTTTTTAAAATTAAAAGAAAAGGAAAACAGAACTGTACTTCAAACTTCCTGTTTTTAACTGTCTTTGAAGGTTTATTTTAGGCAATTTCTCTATAGGGAAAAAACAAGTACACACACAGTGCATACATGAGTGTGTAACAACACTTTTTTTCTTAATGGACTACTAAAAAGAGAGTCATCAGTTTCCCAGAATTTTTGTAATCAATCACATAATTACATACTTGATTAATAACTGGATACCTTCAGTACGGAATTCACCTCATTCTTTTAAATATATACACACATACACATACACATATATATATCCTTCATAATTTTAATGTACAGAGAATTATAAAATAACCGACTAGAAATCTAGCTTTCCTGTAATTGTTACAAACTTTCCACCAATTTATACTATGAGGTTTGAAGATGATCTTGCTTTTGTCATATTACTACATGTAGAAAAGAGGGCTATTCCCAGCTACTTCGGTGGCCAAGGCAGAAGGACTGCTTGAGCCCAGGAGTTCTAGTCCTGCTTAAGCAAAACATCAAGACCCCATTACAAATGTTAAAATCAAAAACAAACAACAAAATGCATGTGTGTATGTGTGTGAAGAAAAAGAAAAAAATGTGGTAGAGTTTGCTCAAGTTGGGGAACACGTTAAACACCTTTAAGACTAAATGCAATGTAAGTTATAAAAAAAAAAATTCTATCATTGAATAAGTGGAGAGGAGGGAAACAATAAGGAAACTGACAAAAATATATTCACTAAACAGAGTCAAACTGCCAGTAAGCATTCTTTTCAGTCATGATATCAAAGGCACATTCTTGCAAACTACCTAAGTGGCTTAAATACAGAAAGTAGCAAGTCAGTACAGTTAACCAGTGTGAGGGCTGAAAATTGTAAAAGCTATCCCACTTTAAAAGGAGAAAAGCCTTGCAAACTTGTTGTTTCCCATTTTGTCTGGACAGGAAGACATTTGCTAAATGTATTTCTTCCTTGGGGATAAAGTGTGACACTACCCACTGATGACACAAAGATCACTTACATTTACTTCCTTCTCCTATTTTAAGTAAACAGCAATTTAAAAAAAATAGAGACTCTTATCTCTAATCTGAAAGTACAATTAATAAAATGAAACTCCTAGCTACATTGTTTGAAAAAAAGAAAAGTCATTGGACTCATCCCTGAGAATCTGTTCCAGAAGCAACCCAACCAGCCCTTTGAGCTGTGACAAGATTGTACTTCAGTTTGTTCTTATGTTTTCTATTTGAGTTCTCCCTTCAGTACCACAGAGCAGGGCAGAAGGGGAAGAAGCTGTTTCAAGGCACAATGAAGCTCATTGTTCTATGTTAGAAAAAACCCACCGTAACATGTGGGCTCTTCTACATGATCATCTAACCAGAGCAAGCTGGCCAGTATTAGGTAGTCCTATCTACCCCATACAGACACCTTGGACAATTCTGGAACAATAACCCAAACTAATCAATCTAAACCCTCCGATACTCAATCTAAGGGAATAAAAGATCATTTCTAACACTTTAAAGCACTTTTTTCTTTCTAGATATTTACAATCCTAGACTTTTCATTCTTTCCTCTGTGCCATTTCTTCTCCCTGACATTACCCCAATATTAATAATTAATAATGTTATTAGAAAATAAGACCAGCTGTGGTAGCTCATACCTGTAATCCCAGCACTTTGGAAGGCTGAGGTGGGATAATGGCTCGAGGCCAGGAATTTGCGACCAACCTAGGAAACACAGCAAGACCCCATCTATACAAAACAAAAATCAGCCAGGGCACAGTAGTTTATGCCTGTAATCCCAGCACTTCAGGAGGCCAAGGTGGGTGGACTACCTTAGGTCAGGATTTTAAGACCAGCCTGGCCAACATGGCAAAACCTCATCTCTACTAAAAAATACAAAAATTAGCCAGGCATAGTGATGTGCGCCTGTAACACCAGCTACTCGGAAGGCTGAGAAAGGAGTTGCTTAAACCCAGGAGGCAGAGGTTGCAGTGAGCTGAGATTGCGCCATTACACTCCAGCCTGGGTGACAGAGCAAGACTCCATCTCATTTAAAAAAGAAAAGAAAAAAGTCAGGCATGGTGGCATGCATCTATAGTCCCAGCTACTTGGGAGGCTGAGAGGAGGATCACAAGAGCCCAGGAGTTCAAGGTGGCAGTGAGCTATGATCATAACACTGCATTCCAGCCTGGGTGACACAGTGAGACCCTGTCTCTCAAAAATAAATTAAATTAAGGTGAGGCACAGTGGCTCATGCCTATAATCCCAGGACTTTGGGAAGCCAAGGCATGCGGATCACCTAAGATTGGGAGTTCGAGACCAGCCTGGCCAACATGGCCAAACCCCATCTCTACTAAAATATAAAATATTAGCCAAACGTGCTGGCGCATGCCTGTAATCCCAGCTACTCGGGAGGCTGAGGCAGGAAAACTGCTTGAATTGGGAAGGTGGAGGTTGCGGTGAGCTGAGATTACAACATTGCATTCCAGCCTGGGCAACAAGAGCGAAACTCCATCTCAAAAAATAAAATAATAAATTAAATTAAAAAGAAAAATCACTGGCCCTATTCTAATATTATCCCTTCTAACTAGAATCAAAGAGCACTGGAAACCCAGATGAAGTTCCCAAGTCATAGATATGATCAACATTACCAAGCAGATCAACCTGGTATTCCAGTTTTTAACACACATGGTCTGGATTTGGGGGGAGGAGAGAAAAAAAAAATGAGATGTCCAGAGTGTGGCTTCCCGAGACAAACCCTTGGCACCCTTCCTCATCCAACATTTCAGGCCCATCAGATCATGAACTAAAAAGTTATAGCCATAATTTCTTTCTTTCTTTTTTGAGACAGTTTCACTCTAACGCCCAGGCTATAGTACAGAGGCATGATCTTGGCTCACTGAAACCTCTGCCTCCCAGGTTCAGTGATTCTCTTGCCTCAGCCTACCAAGTAGCTGGGACTACAGGCACGCACCAGCACATTTGGCTAATTTTTTTGTATTTTTAGTAGAGATGGGGTTTCGCCCTGTTGGCCAGGCTGGTCTCAAACTCCTGGCCTCAACTGATCTGCCCACCTTGGCCTCCTGAAGTGCTAGAATTATAGGCGCGAGCCACTGTGTCTGGCCTAGTTATAATTTCAACACAATTCTGCACCAAAGCCTCAGGAGGACCTGGAATTGGGGAGGTGGGGGGGACGATGATTAAAAGGGAGGTGGGAAGGGTATGGGAAGACTCCACATTCAACATTGTTGTGACTCACTGAGAGTCAAAACCATTTCACTAACCTGTTTTCTTTGTGTTATCAAACTTCCCTCCTTACTGGGGGGCTGAACCTGGCTAGGCCCAAATGTGGGCAGGGTCACACCTCAGAGCCACCAGTCCCGGAGCACACAGTTGCAGCAACCTACAAAAACAAGAAAAGGTGATGTTAAAAGAGGGTTAAGACCAGAAATGGTCCTCTGCTGAACATCACCCACTGGGAGTCATAAATAAGGACTAGAAAATATTTCTCATCCCTTGCCTGCAACTACAAGCAAGCTGCCAGGAGCCAGGATGATTCCATTCAGAGTTGTCCCATTAACATCCAAGTAAGAGCTTGGAGCTCATTGTACCTTGAACAGACCTTGAACACCCCTCTCCCCCAGCAAATTCCAACAACGAATGGCTTGGACCACTGGCTCCCAGGGGAGCTTCGTGCATCCTAATGGCATGTTCATAGCAGATGCCTACAGACTGCCAGGTTAACAAGAAGAGAAAAGCAATGCAGTGATGAGTGCTATCAGAAACACAAGGGAAAAAAAGAAGATAGTTGAAGAAATTAAGAAATATACAACTAGCAGTGGCTCACACCTGTAATACCAGCACTTGGGGAGGCCATGACTGGGCAGATCATTTGAGTTCATGAGTTCGAGACCAGCCTGGGCAACAAGGTGAAAACACTATCTCTATAAAAAATACAAATAGCTGGGTGTTGTGGCATGCGTCTGTAGTCCCAGCTATTATTCTGTAGCTGAGGTGGGAGGATGGCGTAAGCTGAAATTGCACCATTGCACTCCAGCCTGAGCAACAGAGCCAGACCCTGTCTCAAAAAATAAATAGTAAGAATAAGAAATATATAACCAAACAGTGCCTTAAAGGATAGATTATTATATCCTTGCCTGGGTGTAAGGAGGAAGTGTTGGTAATACATGTCAAATACGACCAAACGCAGACCTTTTTCCTTTCTGTAGGAAGATGCAAAAAATGTCTCAAATTACACATGCCCTTCAAAAGTTTGAGCAAGTCCGCTCTGGAGCGTCAAGGGCTTCAAAGCCCTGCGCTGGGAGAAAACTGGAATGCAGCATTTCCCAGAGCTACATCATGTAGCCACATTCTCTGGCTTTCAACATAGCTTCCCTCAGCTAAGGTAAAGAGCACAAAACTGGGAGAAAACTCAGAGGTAAAATAAACCCCACACAGACAACACCTACAGAGAAACAACTGCTTGGCATATTTTCTCACTTTTATTCCCCTTTTGGAGCATCTAGAGATAAGCTGCCTATCTGTGCTACATAGCTGTCACCACGAACCTCAGGACTAACCCACAGGGATGGCCCCTGCCCCACAGAAGGGGATGCAGAGTACCTCAAGCTGGACATTATAGACCCCCCACCCACACCCCACTGAAAAAATGCACATACTCTATACTCAACAATTTTGTTCAGTACCAGGAGGGTCAGGGACCCTAGAAAACCACCCAGGGAGAGCAAGCTAAGAATCCCTGTTTTGCCTGATATTATAACCTGCCCTCTTGTAAACTATGAATAAAGTCTATTTTATTAACATACCTGTGGAGTTTTCAGAAATGCACAAACATCCTTTCAGACTATCTTCACCCATCTAAGGTGAAATTAAATACTGTTTTTAAAAAAGAAAGCAAAGTTATTGTTTTTTCTTTTTTCTTTTTTTGTTTAAGATGGGGTTTCAACATCATGGCCAGGCTGGTCTTGAACTCCTGACCTAAGGTGATCCACCCACCTCGCCCCCCAAAGTGCGAGGATTACAGGCGTGAGCCACCGCACCCAGCCTCTTTTTTCATGTTTTAATTAATGACAGATGTTATTAGGAATAAAGTCTGGAGAGGAAAAGCCCTTTGGTTTTTTTCTAGAAACTGCCAAGATCTTCAAATAAACAGCATGAACCACAATTTTATTCATAATTAATAAAAACAACTTCAAAATTTTTTTAAAAATTAAAGAAATAAAAATAAATAGGCCGGGCCCAGTGGCTCACGCCTATAATCCCGCCACTTTGGGAGGCTTAGGCAGGTAGATCACCTGACGACAGGAGTTCATGACTGGCCTTGCCAACATGCCAAAACTCCATCTCTATTGAAAATATAAAAATTAGCTGAATATCATGGCACATGCCGGTAACCCCAGCTACTTGGGAGGCTGAGGCAGTAGAACTGACTGAACCCAGGAGGCAGAGGTTGCAGTGAGCTGAGATTGTGCTACTGGCACTCCAGCCTGGGCAACAGTGAGAATCCATCTCAAAAACAAAATAAAATAAAAGTAAATTAAAATAAACACACTTCAGAGTCAGAACAAGTATCTGTAATTAAAAATTTCCAGCATACAGCTAAGGCTTCCATTAAAATTTAGACCTGTTGCCTCCCTTCATTTTAAAAGGATAACTTTAAAAAAAAAAAAAAAAGGTCCACTGAATGGCTTCCCGGAAGCACACAGGACAGCAAGGAAGAGAAAGGATGGCTTTAGAACAAGAGGGCTAGGCTGAGAGACTTGACCTTGAAACTTCCATCCTCTTGCCCTTGGGTATAAATGATTTGAATATTGAGAATGTCTCACAATAAAGCCAAAGTCACTAGGTTGTTTGTTTTGGGTTCTATTAGGCCTCAGGGATTCACAGAGCTTGAAGAGTGGAAAAATACAAGAGTTTTTAGAAGAAACTTTAAGATACTCCTTACCTCCATCACCAATGCCTCAGAAAAAAAAAAAAAAAAAAGACTAGTTGCACCCTAAAGATGACTCCTGTAGGTGAAATGTGACAGAAAGGCTGGGTCTTTGAGGTGTTGGTAAAGGCTGCTAAATTTTTGGATTTGCACTCCCACAAGATTTACGCAAAGCCAATGAAGGCAGGAAGACTAGGAGAAGGCGGAAGTCCCTCTGTGGGGGGAAGGAAAGGCCAGCCCCAAGCCCCAGGGGAGATAAGGAACAATGCTATGTGAAGCCAGACACCGAAGATTAAGGGGCGGGTCTCCAGGTCTAAAGAGATAGCAATGAAGAGATTAAAGATAAGAGCTGCATCCCAGTTTCTGAAAAACGTAAAGGTGGTTTTTGTGTGTGTGTGTTTTTGAGACGGTCTCATTCTGTCACCAAGGCTAGAGTGCAGTGGCACGACCTGTAACTTGTCTCCCTGGTTCAGGTGCTTCTTATGCCTCAAGCCTCCCAGGTAGCTGGGATTACAGGCCTGTGTACCAACCACTATGCTCGGCTAACTTTAAATTTTACATTTTTAGTTGAGACTAACACTGGGTTTTTAGGATTTAGCCATGTTGCCCAGGCTGGTCTTGAAAGCCTGGCCTCAGGTGATCCACCCACCTCAGCCTCCCAAAGTGCTGGGATTACAGGCAAAAACCTGAGGGTTCTTTTTTTGTTTGTTTTTGAGACAGTCTCATTCTGAGGCTGGAGTGCAGTGGCACGATCTTGGTCTCAGCTCACAGCAAACTCTGCCTCCCAGTTTCAAGTGATTCTCCTGCCTCCTGAGAACCTGGAATTACAGGTTTGCACCACCATGCCCGGCTAATTTTTGTATTTTTATTAGAGATGAGGTTGCACCATATTGGCCAGGGTGGTCTCGAACTCCTGATCTCAGGTGATCCACTTGCCTAGGCTTCCCAAAGTGCTGGGATTACAGGCGTGAGCCACTGTGCCCAGCCTCCTGAGGGTTCTTAAAGTGAAATCTAAACTCTGTCCTAAGGCCCCCAGGAAACATGGAATAAGTTTAGATTCCTAGAAATGATGGTTGAGACTCTGGAAAAATGTTCTCACAGTGATAGAACGGTGGGTTTTACAACACTTGAGACCAGGATGGGCACAGTGCAGAGCCTCCACAACGCCCAAAAATACTTGGGATGGCTGATCCATGCTATCTACGAGCCTAGTTGATCAGTTCAGGCCAACCCAGGACAAGCTAAAAGTTTGAGTTAACAGTTCAGACACTAAAATGGTCTGAGCTATGAGGGAGCTTGATGAACAGCAAAGACATCTCTTGAAGGATAGGCTGTGTCTTGGCTAGGCTGGCAGAATCAAACCAGGCTAGATGTTCCACCAGGGACATGACTGTTCTCTGCCTGCAAAGCTTGGGGCAAAACTGTCTCTTCTAACCACCTCACATGTGCTCTGAAGGCTGAGACAGCTGTGCTGATGACTTTGAGTTCCAGGAAGATGATGTGTTTCTTGGCTTAGGGTTCAGGCTATGCCCTGGATAGGGCAGCAACCCATGAAAGTCACCCCCCTCACCAACAACCCATGGCTGGCACGGGCTTAGGTAAGACAGGAGCCTTAGAATGTCACACAGCGCCTCTCAGCATCTAAGCAAGATCTACACCATGGGGCACTGTAAGCTGCTTCAGTCAACTCTGATCTTCTCTTCCTGGGTAAGAAGGGACTCCTAGCAGGTGGAGGGGAGTTGAGCATGATGGCTCATGCCTATAATCTCAGCACTTTGGGATACAGAGGCAGGAGGATCACTTGAGGCCAGGAGTTCAAGATCAGCCTGGGCAACACAGCAGAACCCCTGTCTCTAATTAAGAAAAAAAAAAAAAAAAAAAAAAAAGAGGTGGAGGGGATGCATCCCCTGGTACAGGCCATATTCAAGACACAAGGGCAAGAGGTAAAGGGGGGCAACAAAACCTCGGACCTAAGATATGTATGTCAGCCCCCTCTGGGTATGTTTCATTCCTACACTCTCATCCTCTTTTTTTTATAATTTTTTTTTTTTTGAGACGGAGTTTCGCTCTTGTTACCCAGGCTGGAGTGCAATGGCGCGATCTCGGCTCACCGCAACCTCCATCTCCTGGGTTCAGGCAATTCTCCTGCCTCAGCCTCCTGAGTAGCTGGGATTACAGGCATGAGCCACCATGCCCAGCTAATTTTTTGTATTTTTAGAAGAGATGGGGTTTCACCATGTTGACCAGGATGGTCTCGATCTCTTGACCTTGTGATCCACCCGCCTCGGCCTCCCAAAGTGCTGGGATTACAGGCTTGAGCCACCGTGCCTGCCCACTCTCATCCTCTTAAGACTACAGCAAGCCAGGCACAGTGGCTCATGCCTGTAATTCCACCACTTTGGGAGGCTGAAGTGGGCAGATCACTTAAGGCCAGTCTGACACCAGCCTGGGCA